TGATGTCGTTTTCAGGGGAATAAATATATATGATTCTACAATAACATATACTCCACTGAACGGGTCTACGTATAAGTCATAAGCCATGTATAATTGTTAATTATAATTACATGCATTGTTTATATTTCCACTAAGTTAACAATAAGGAGTCAAGACGATTAAAATTTTGATTATGCATTTTGGTAGATTTACAATAAGAATAAAGAAATATTGACTCGAGAACTAAATTTCACTATTCCTTAAAGCGGGGGAGTCGTCACCTGCACATGCGTCAGATGACCATAGCGTGTCATTGTTTACAAACAAGTGTCTACCCGTGAGCCTTTGCATTTTTAGCGTATTGGGACTCAATTCCTGCATGTACGCAGGTGACAACCCTCTCGCTTTAAGTTGAAACCATCTAGTGACGCAGCACTTCTGTGATATCAAAATGATGCACAAGTAAAAACAATACTGTTTGACAACTGTAGTTCCTATATTTTTAAGAATCATGTGCAGGCGTTCATCATGAAAAAAGAAGTAAAATCTCTCCAAAACATAATCTTCATTAATGGAGACTGCAGGACATCAGGGTATTGACAATTTAAAAGGGTAATTAATAATTCAAGTCACCCAGTAATGTTGTAGAAGTGCTTCTTCACTAGACTGAAAGAATGGTGTATTTTTAAAGGGCGGTGGTCGTCGTGCCGTGTCCTGTATACAACGCATGTAAAATACATTGTTTATTTACATGAAATTCGAACACGTGCTGCGCAATGAACAACACGCTTTAAGTACAATTTTTCGGCAACCATTCACCTAAACACACAAACAAAAACTATGACAGTGCTCACTTTACTGTTAAAGTTGCATTCCTAATTTGTGCCCTGTGACCAACATTGTATAACCTCTCACTCTCACCCCTATGAGCATAAATAATGATAAATCTTGTACAACAAAATCCTGAGATCAAATTCAGAAGGCCCAATACTGTAAAATACTTTATTTTAGCTGGAATAAATTTAGGCTGAAAAGACTTTTTGGGTGTTTTGTATGGAATTTATTTTCACTGGTTTTTTACAAATGTTAAATATAGGAAAACAGGTATATTAGCTGGATTTTATTTTCAATGAATTATTCCTTCACCGAAAATTAATTCCAAGCGAAAATAAAGTATTCTACAATTAAGTCATTGTTGGTTTTATTATTTCACCATAAACTATGTTCACTGTCCTCCACCTGTAACTTCACATTTATTCTTCTTTCCTGAAAATATACATAAATTAAAAAAGTTACAAATAATGCAGAAACAACTTCTCAGGTGATGGTGTGATATATAAATATTTGAGAAAACTGTTTTTAGTGAATGTAACACAATAACTGTAAACAACAAGATGGTGAATTTGATGACTTACTGGTACAAACTGAAATGCTTTTTTCATTATAATACATCAAGGTGACTCAATACAGTTTCAAGAAAAACTTTGGATTTTTTTTTATATTTTGCAAATAGATTGCTTTTTGCTGCTATACAAGGTCATACGTGAGAAAAGAATTGATACAGAAATAGTTCAACACTTCAACTGGGTACAAGTTTTATTTTATTTTATTTAAGGCAGTTCTAGCCAAATTTCAAAATACTGAGCATATATGCAATGCATTATGGGAGAAAATTCCTTATTGTGTTATCATTAAACTAGATACTGTGAAATCCTTTATTTTAGCTGCAATTAATTTTCGCTGAAAAAACTTTTTGGGTGTTTTGTATGGAATTTATTTTCACTGATTTTTGGTGAGTTGAATGTAAAATATAGGAAAAAAGGTATATTCGCTGGATTTTATTTTCACTGAATCATTACCTACGCGAAAATAGCCAAAATTAATTCCAAGCGAAAATAAAGTATTTTACAGTACTCACTTCACTAAATGTTTTAACAGTATGAGGATTCATGTCATTAAAAACAAGTCATTGTCATTAACATAGTCCAGTTTTTAGTTACTGTGTCAATTAAAAACAATGACAGACTATAATTAAATGCTGCTGGAGTATTCAGCTTGTTTTAATGCGTTACCCGCCCACTTTGATCAAAATTATCCTGGTCATCTCCGAGAAAAAGCTGCTGACACGCTTGAGAATTAAAATAGCAAATTTTACATTCAAAATGACCACCAGTCGGCCATTTTTGTTCTGATCTTCAAATTAAAAAACGTATCTGTAATATATGACCAATATCTAAATATGTAAAGTTTTAATGAGATTGGTCAATGAGTGTCTGAGATATGACCCTGGACGGCAACGGCCCCAAAATTAATAGTCCCCAATTTAGCCATTTCTCATGAAATTGTTTGGTGATCCTAATTTCTTATACTTTCTTTCTTGTTTTACTAAATAGCGCATGAAATGTGAAGATGAAATAATATCTTTAATTCAGCATAAAGTAATGAAGTCATGCAAGACTGTTACATGCATTGTTTATTTTTTCACTACGTTAACAACAAGGTGCTTAAGGCAAGATTATTAAAATTTTGATTATGCATTTTGGTAATATGATTTACAATAAGAATAAAAGAATATCAACTAAAAAATTAAGTAGTATATGTAATACAACATTCCTTAAGTTGAACCCTCAAGTTGCGTAGTGCTTCTGTGATATTAAAATTATGCATGCGAGTTAAAGCAATACTGTTTGACTGTAGTAGATTAAAATCTCTCAAAAACATAATTAATCTTCATTTTTATGTGACCAATCACCTAAACGCAAATGAAAACTATCACAGAGCTCACTTTACTGATAAAGTTACATTCTTAATTTGTACCCTATGGTCTATAACCCCTCACTGACCCCTATAAGCATAAGTAATGATAAATCTTGTACAAAAAAATCTGAGATAAAATTTAGAGAAACCCTATAATAAATTAAATAAGTACAAAATGAAATTCATATTTGACTTGGTAAACACTATACCCCTTCAGTGTTAAAATATTTCATGATTTGTTGCCATACCAACTGAGTTGTCATGGTAATCACAATTATCAGTGCGATTTGGTCTGCATATAATACAAAGTGGGAATGCAACTTATCTCCAGTCTGTACTCCCTCTTATTACTTGTATAATAACTATTCTATGTACCCATTCAATGCAGTCATTGTCGATGTTATTATTTCACCATTAACTATGTTCACTGGTCTCCCTAGTTTGTATGACTTGTTACATGCTTCTGCTACCACAGACGCCATGATGCTCTCTTCAGCTGTCACTTCACATTTATTCTTCTCTCCTGAAAATGTATACAAATTAAAAAAAAAAAATGTTACAAATATTACAGTAACAACCAGATGCTGCGATATATAATCATTGGAAAGATTGTTTCAGTGAATGTAACACAATAACTACAAACTATTCGGAACAAGATGGCGGATTTGACGACTTACTGGTACAAACTGAAATGCTTTTTTCGTTATATTATATTAAGGTGACGCAATACATTCAATCAGAAAAAAATCTTTGCAATTTCTTTTTGGTAATGAAACGAGTATTTGTATCTATATTTTGAATGGGGTACGACAGTTTAAGTAATTTGCCCTATGCTAACACATGGGCGATAGAACGAGTTCACGAGAAAATGCCTGCGCATCCACTTTGAACCCACCACGTTCAAAAGTAAGCATGCAGTTATTTCCGCAAGATCCTAGCAGTATAAAATATTACATCCTCAAACACGACAATATTTGTGGGTATTTCCACTCTTAATAATGTGCTAGACATATTTGATGATGATTAATTTTGATGAAGTAGGGTAATCTCAATATTCCCCTCTCAAGGATCGCCATTATGACATTGAGCTATAAAAAAAGAAACATATATTTGAAATCAAATCGTTCATTCTTTGTGACAGTTGTTAAATCTGCACCTTTCACGCAATATCTCAAGATGAACGGAAAATCACCTATTTTAGTTATATCTTTTCTTTTCTCAGTTTTTTTGGTTGCATGAAACAATACAAACCTTTTACAACATCTATGAAATGATTCAATTCATGTTTATAGCTGTCATTATATCTTTCTGGGCAACTTTGATAAATAGGATTTTCCATCTTCCCTGAACCTCCTTTATGAATGGCCAGTTCACAAGGTCTACAGTTGTTGTTCTGTATCATGCCTTCACTTCCCAAAACCTAATACCGTAATTGGTAAAAGAAGAGAAGTGCCATTCATGAAATATTTTTTACAAGGCAGATGAAGAAATTCAAAATTGAATTAAAATATAGTTTCACCGTATAAAATTTGGAGGAAATTATGCACATAAATTTATTTTTATTGATGAAGTGTTTTCATTTTGTATACCATAATTGCTCAATTGAAAGTACATCACTATTAGAAGTACTCAAAAAACAAAAATTGTTATTTTTAAGAAAAATAATTAGGTAATATGTTGTTGGATGAATAAACATACCGGTAAGTATCATTTGATACAATGGTCAATGTAACACCAATCACAGAGAATTTCACAATTAACACGAAATATTTCTTTTAGTGTAACAAGAGTTAACACACTGTAGCGGTCATCACAGTGTAGCATCATTTATTTGCATTTTTTCCAAACCGTATGTGAATGTTTGATAGCAGTAATTGCTTCTTACTGATCAGCACTGTCGCCATCTGCTGTGACAGTGACATCGATTTATTTTTGATTTGGTTGACCTTTGATCGACTGTCGAACATTTTTGTCCCAAAAAATACCATTTGTAGTTAATATGCTAAATACTATGCCAATATTTAAACATAATCTTACTATGCTTTTCAGTGTTTGACAAAGTCCCTAAAAACATGACGAGGTCCTATGTCATTGACAATGACTGGTTTTTATCTTTGAATTTGATTGATTCGTTCTTGTCAACCATTCATCGCACAAAATCCTAAACATGAACAGGTTTGACAACCTATAAATCGTGATGGAACGCTTCTATGATATCAAAGTCACATATATGAATGAAAGCAAAATCATTCATATAGAGAACTGTGATTGGTTGTGCAGTCGTTCGTCACAAAAGGGAACAATTCATAAAAAAGTTGTATTACAGTAAAATACATATATACCTCCGTTCGTTGATCATACCCATAGGCCGCATATCGACTGACATCAATAGTCCCAAGGATACCAGACGGAAACTTCAATACAATAGAGAGAGTGTCCAGATCCCCTATCTCATGAATACTTTTATTAAATGCATGTCCCTGCGCATATACCATACAAGGTGCCTCGCCTGCGAGCCAACTCGTCAAGTCAATGTCATGAATGGCGCAGTCATGAAATATACCACCTATAGTAAACAGAAGAATGAAATATATATATACAATGATACAGTACATACCGGTACTTAAGGAATGATTGCAAATGTAGAAAATAATGGAATGCATTGAAATAATTGTACCACTTCATGGACTTGTGGTACATATAATAAGTATGACAAGCAGC